GTCCAGCGGCCTCTCTGTTTCCAGGGTGTAGTAATTCTCTACAGATTGCTTCAGGATGAAGGGGAGATCATCTTGGATGGAGCACAGTAACTTTGCATTATTCCCTGAATCTCTGTCTCTAATCCTAAAAACAGCTACTACTGTTTGTGGAGAGTTTTCTGAAATTGGGCTAGTAAGTGATGACATGAATAGTTCTGGCGGATTATCATTAATATCTGTGACTTGAACCACCACAGTGCATTTTCCAGAAAGTCCGCCACCATCTTCAGCCTGAACAGTTAATGTATAGTTTTGTATTGCCTCATAGTTCAGTTCAGCTTTAAGATGAATTGTGCCATATATGGGATCGATTTGAAATGTTTTGAGAATTTTATCAGTTGCGTAAAAAAATGCATAAACTATTTCCCCATTACTTCCAGCATCTAAGTCTCTAGCTGACACCGTGGCGACTAGTGAACCTACTGGGCTATTCTCAGGTACCTGCACGTTGTAGAGCAACTGTACAAATTCAGGGACATTGTCGTTTGTGTCCACAACCGTGATCCGTACCAGGGCGGTACCCGATCTAGGTGGAGAGCCACCATCCAAAGCTGTTAGCGTTAAACTGAGGGCAGGCACCTCTTCTCGGTCCAGAGCTCTATCCAGTACCAACTCAGGGTAGATATTCCTTTCATTACTTTCATGGACATTGATATGGAAATATTCATTGGGGCTGACTGTGTAGTTCCTCAGGTTGTTGATTCCAACATCTGCATCTTGTGCACTCTCTAGGAGAAATACTGCCCCTGGAATGGTACTTTCTAATATTTTCAAGGGAATCTCTCTGTCCAGAAATACTGGAGAATGATCGTTGATATCACTGACCCACAGTTCAGCCCGGAAAATCTGAAAAGGCTTTTCTAGTAACAACTGAAAAGGCAGCACACAAGACTCTGTAGGGCCGCACAGCTCTTCGCGATCTAATTTCTCATTTAGCAGTAAATCACCAGTAAGCGGATTGAGAAGTAAAAATAGTATATTCTGATCTGAAATGACTCTAGCCCCCCGGGATGACAATTCCCCTGCCCGTAGCCCCAGGTCTTTCACTAGGTTGGCCAGAAAGGTGCCTCTCTCCGTTTCCTCAGCCACAAAATACCGAAGCGGTTCTGCACTAGCCCAAGACACTCCCAGAAATACACAAAGAAATAGGACTTGCCTTTTCTGTCCAGTACGCGCCACTCTAGTCTCCATTCTTCTTTAATCAGGCTGTCAAAAACACTGGTCCTCAAGCAGCTCTCAGAAATGGCAACCGAGTCCTTGGAAATGAGCTTGTGAGCCAATGCTGTGGCGAAGGATCCCCCACTTTTCCCCAACTCCTGTCAGCACGGTCTCCTTTCCTCTTCTTGTCTGGCCAGCCTTCCTTTCAATTCTGGAATCTGCAACATCCTTTGTGCAATTTCCCCCCTCTTTTTAGCCAGCAGTGCCACCTTGCGTTTTGTGAGTGTTATTCCCGTTTTTAAGAATAGAACAGAAAAGATGACCGGTTGCAGGTACTGGAATAGGGGTGAATTTTTTAACCCAGTGTTTTGTTGTTTCATGTTTCCCTTCAAATCGTCATAGTGATGTTAGTGTTTTATCATTTTACTTTCTGATAGGTTGAATTCATGGAAAATCAAATCTGTTATTTATCTTAATCTAGAGCATGAAATTAAAGAGCAAATATTAAGGAAACTTCCAGTTTTTTAAATCGATAGTAAAGAATATATAAGAAAATGAAGCCTCTATTAAAAAGCCAACAGATATTAAAGAAGGAGCTTTTCTTTGTAAACTGCTTATCAAGGATGCTTTCATACTGCTGAGTAACTGGTCTTTTCCCATTTTTTCTTTTCATTTGTAAATTAAATAATTACTCCACTTTCAAGGTCCTTATCCATATTTTCTGGAACACTTTCTGTACCTCAGTGTCCACGCTTCACTTTCACTGGGTGTTATGTGTAAATAATGCTTACATATGATTTCTATGACTAGTATCTCCAATAATATT